GGTCCTGGGGGCAGGAATGGGGTTCTGGGGGCAGGAATGGGGTTCTGGGGGCAGGAATGGGGTTCTGGATCTGAGGATGGAGTTTTGGATGTGGGTACGGAGTCTCGTGCTCATCCTCAATGGGGAATCCTGGCTGCGGGGTCTGGATTCCAGCTCTGGCTTTGGGGTCCTGGCTGCAGCTTTGGGGTCCCGGTTCTGCCCTCGGGGCCCTGTGCTCACCCTCCAAGCGGGCTCCTGAATGCCAGCTGTGGGGTTTGGGTGCCAGATGTGGCCTTGGGCTACCAACCAAAGCCTCGGGGTCTCAGCTGTGGCTTTGGGCTCCAGCTGCGAGCGGTGACGGGCGCAGGGCCCCGCGCACACCCTGGACAGCAGATCCAGCGGTGGCCCTGGGCTCTCTGTGCCCCGGGGCTCCGGTGCCAGCCCCCTCTGGCTCCCCAGGCATTCTGCCCGTGTGCCACCCGCTCTTCGCCCTGGCCACGGAGGACCTGAGCTGCTGGTTCCCCCCCAACCACCTGTTCACCGTGGATGAATCCCGCAGCCAGGTCGTGGTGTACAGGATCAGGTACGGCCCCTGCCCGGCCCCGCCCTTCCCCGGCGGCTTTTGGGGCCGCGCTCCCGGGGGGGAGCAGCGCCGGGACCCCTCCGCTGTCCCCGGCAGGTTCTTCTTCCCCAACTGGTGCGGGCTGGGACAGTGCCACCGCTTCCAGCTGCTGAACGACCGGGCCAGCCCTGTCCTGGACTACCCTGTCATTGATTACCTGTTCGCTCAGGTGAGCGCTGCCAGCCGGCCTCCTCCTCCTGTTCCTCCTCTTCCTCCTCCTCCTGTTCCTCCTCCTCTTCTTCCTCCTCCTCTTCTTCCTCCTCCTCTTCTTCCTCCTCCTCTTCTACCTCCTCCTGTTTTTCCTCCTCCTCCTCTTCTTCCTCCTCCTGTTATTCCTTCTCCTCTTCCTCCTCCTCCTCCTCCTCCTCCTCCCCCCAAGAGTACCCCGAGTTGCCAGCATGGGGTCACCCTGTCCCCTTTGTGGGGGGACAGCGGATCAGAGCCCGGGCAGGACCCCCCGGTGTCTCGGGGACACCAGTGTGACATTCCCCGGGGTTTCGGGGACACGAGGGGGACACTCCCGGGGGTCTCGGGGGACCGGAGAGCCCCCCCGAGCCTCGTGTCCCCCCCAGTCCCGCAGCGATTTCATCGGGGGCCGCGTGGCCGTGGGGCTGAGCCTGCCCTCGCAGGAGCAGTGCCTGGGGCTGGCCGTGCTGGACATGCTGCGCATCGCCAAGGAGCGGCGGCAGAGCCCCGAGCAGCTCTGCAGCCACCTCAGGTGAGACGGGACCGAGTGGCCCTCGGGGGGACAGCCCGGCATGGCTGGGGACAGCCTGGAACCCATGGGGACAGCCTGGAACCCATGGGGACAGCCTGGGTTCCATGACCCATGGGACACACCGGCACCCCTGGGGACACCCCGGCACCCCCGGGAGCACTCTGCCACCCCCGGGGACACCCCGACAACCCCGGGAACACCCCGACAACCCCGGGGATACTCTGTCACCTCCTGAGACACCCCAACACCCCTGGGCACACCCCTGAGGACACCCCGGCACCATCGGGAACACCCCCGGGAACACTTTGCCATCCCCGGGGACATCGCAACACCCCCGGGGACACTCCTGAGGACACCCCTGGGGACACCCCTGAGGACACCCCTGGGGACACCCCGACACCCCTGGGGACACCCCGACACCCCTGGGGACACCCCGGCACCCCCGGGCACACGCAGCTCCGGCTCCCCGCAGCTACAAGTCGTGCCTGCCCGCTCCGCTGCGGAGCCAGATCGAGCAGCACAACTTCGTGACCCGCAAGCGCCTCCGCCGCCGCTTCGGTAAATCCCTGCGGCGCCTCGGGGGCTGCTGCCACACGGACGGGCCGCAGCTGAAGCTCAAATACCTGCTGGACCTGGAGCGGCTCCAGCGCCGCCGCAGCGAGGAGATTTTCCAGGCGCGCTCGCCCGGCTCGGCGGCGCCCATCGCCATCCACGTGTCCGGCGACAGCGGCGTGGCCTGGAGCTGCGGAGGCTCCGAGGTGCTTGGGGGGGCGGCCGGCAGCCGGGGAGCCC